CGCTGCAATTTAATAATCAGCCCAGATCACCGGGCGTTTTTTTTTCTTCTTCCTCCTGCTGCGATGTGGGCCTTGGGGTTCCAAGCTTCCCTCACTTGCTTTTGCCGCTTCTGTCAAATACAACAAACCCTCCACCGTTGCACCTTTCGACCATGGGGAGGGGACAGGCTGGCGCCAAGGCAAAGGCCATGACCAAAGGAACTGCAAAGAAGGCCGCAAAGAAGGCGTCCAAAGGACCCAAGGCCAAGCGCGCAGTTGCGCCGCCGGTGGTCCAGGGCGTGGAGCCAGCAGATGAGCAGGAGCCGGACGAGGAGGACGTAGAGTTTGTGCGGCAGAACAGCGGCAGCCTGAGCTTCCTGCGATCGGTCGCGCCCGAGAACCTGGTGCGCGTGGAAAAAGAACCAAAGGAGAAGCGGCCTGCACGCGACAAGAAGCAGACGATCGCGCCTCCCAAAGAGCTCTCGGAGACCGAGGACGAGGACAGCGGTGACAGCGATGCGGATCTGGAGATCCGGAGCAGCGACGAGGAGGCGGATCGGCTGGTGGATCTTGTACTGTCCGACGCAGACTCTGACGTAGAGAGCATGACTGAAGATGAGGATCTGGACGAAGGCGATGACGGCGAAGAGGATCTGGATGCAGATGACAGCGACCATGATTTTGCCAATAGCAAGGTGCGGCGGGCGCAGAAGCGCAAGGCCATGTTTGGCGGCGAGATGGACTATGAGCAGGCGGCTCGGGCCTTTGTCGAGGACAAAAAGCCCAAGCTGTCAAACAAACTCCCCATCAAGACATCTGACGGCCGACTGGCGCTGCCCGAGTACTCGGACGATGGCGAGGGTGGCAGCGACGCGGACAGCGAGGATGCAGAGGGGGCCAGCGACACAGAAAGCGAAGACGACGGCGACGGTTCGGGATCAGAATCCGGTGACAAGCCTGCAGGGGCCGCGGCAGCTGACCAGGGCACCAGCGGATCGGTGCCGGACCGGAAGCGAATGTCGCGCAAGGCGTATATTGTCGCGCAGCAGAACCGGCTCGCGGCGCTAGCCGACACAGTTATGCAGGACCCTGAGTCGCAGCTCGAGGGATTGAAGACATTGCATGCAATCAGCGACGACAAGGACCCGCGGGTCAGGCGGCTGGGTCTTCTGACACAGCTGGCCGTGTTCTCGGATATCCTGCCGGGCTACCGTATCCGCGAGCTGACCGAGAAGGAGAAGCAGATGAAGGTGACCAAGGAGGTGCAGCAGCAGCGGCAGAGGGAGGAGAGGCTGGTGCAAAGCTACAGCCGGTTCCTGAAGCAGCTGTTTGTGGCGACCAAGAGCGCAATGAAGATCTTTGGCGACGCAAATGCAGACATTGAGACGGGCGTCGTGGCCACTCGAGCCCTGGGTACGCTGGTCACGACCCACCCACACTTCAACTACCGCAAGGACGTGGTGGCAGCGCTGGTCGATATCTATGTGCAGCCGCCGTCGCGCATCAACTTTGCGCCATTTGTTCCGATGGCCCAGGCAGCGCGGTTGGCCGTGCTGCGGCTGTTCCGCGACGATGTTTCGGGCGAGTACTCGCACGACACGGTTGTGCTGGCGTCCAAGCGGATCAAGCGGCTGTCCTACCGCGTGGACCCCAGCGCGCTGCGGCCGTGGCTCCACCTCCGGCTATGCGAGGAGCTGCGCGAGAACCCCGAGGACCGCAAGCGGGCGGACGAGGACCGGCAGCGCAAGGAGCGGCTGCGCGAGGAGCGGCGGGTCAACCGGCGCAAGAAGGGCGGGGCGGCGCTGAAGGAGGCCAAGCGGGCTCTGCACGTGACCAGGAAGCAGGCCAAGATGCGCAAGGTGCAGCGCGACGTGGACCGGTCCATGGCCGAGGCCGAGGCCGAGGTGTCGCGCGAGGAGCGCGAGAAGTGGTTTGGCGAGACCCTGAAGCAGGTGTTCATCACCTACTTCCGCATCCTCAAGCAGAAGGACAACATTGGTGCCCTGCTGCCGGCGGTGCTGGAGGGTCTGGCGCGCTACGCGCACCTCATCAGCGTCGAGTTCTTTGTTGACCTGTTCCGCCTGCTCAAGCGCATCATGCGCGGCCAGCACGGCGTGGGCGTTGGCGCCGAGGAGTCTGAAGAGAGCACGGACCTGCTGTCGTCGCGCGTGGGTCTGCGTACGGCGCTACTGTGCATCCTCACTGCCCTGCACATCCTTACCGGCCAGGGCGAGGCGCTCAACCTGGACATCAAGGACTTCTTCTACCAGCTGTACGCCCTGCTGCCGGCGCTAGCCGCCAGCCCGCAGATCGAGTCCACGCGCTTGTCGGTGCTGTCGGACGGCACGCGCTACACAGTGTACCTGACCCCCGCCGAGGTGGCCGCCGCCAATGCGGCCCAGGCCCAGCCCGAGCCCGACGCCGGCGGCGAGGAACAGGCGGCGGCCTGGGAAGATACTGTGCGCAGCGAGTCGGACCTGATGTTCGAGTGCCTGGAGCTGATGTTCCTGGGCCGGACGCGGGTATCGTCGTCCACACGCGTGGCGGCGTTCTGCAAGCGGGTGGGCGAGAGCGCGCTGTACTGGCCGCCACGGACCGCGGTCAAGGCCATCGAGTTTATCCAGCGCCTGCTGATCAAGTATCCTGTGCTCGACCGCCTGCTATCGTCGGAGGACCAGGCGGGCAGCGGGCTGTACCTGCAGGACCTCGACGATCCCGACATGT